AACAAGAATACATTAATACACTTGAAAATTGAGCATATAATTAATTAGTTGCATGCATTTCATTATAGATATGGAGAGTTCGTATATTTTACGAAAAACTAAGCAACTTACATGATGAGAGAATAAGTCTGTGGGATAACGGAATAGCAAGATTTACGTGTACAAATACATTGATCATACAGTTGCACATGGGTGTGCACAATGCCATGACAAAAGCAAGGTCAAACAGTAAAATTTATTTCAGCAAAATAGATACGAGAAATAGAGAGATTATATCAAGATCAGCTTTGGAAACTGGGTAATTTAGGTTTGGTTAATAAATAATATCGAATAAAAGCTAACAACATTAATGGTTATCGTAAAACTTCTGGATTGATGCAAAAACCCATCAACTTCATTGATGTCCTTTTAGGGAAGAAAATCTGCTGTTACCTGCTTTGTGTATATGTGACTCCAGACCCATAGCAACATTGTTGATTTTTTTAAAATTTCCTTTCGAAATAATTTAGCAAGTTGCTCAATTAAGGACAGCTCAGGATACGCAATAAACATTGGCCTTATCAATGATGCCCCTATCCTTTGAATGAAGAAATAAAAAGCATGTATTGAATCTTAGATATATCATGCTTGGAGAACAGTGTATTATTCTGATTGCCACATTGTGAAAAGGTACACAGTCACTCAAGGGTGCAAGAAAAGACTTCAAAGGATGACACCAGAACTGGAAGAATAGATTTTTTTTAAATTCACCTTTGGGACATAGGCAGTGCTGTCCAGCCATTTATTGCCCATCTCTGAAAATGACTGAACAGGCTAGGGCTCTTCCTGTTGAAAAGAGAAGGCTGAGGTAGTTATTAACACAGTTCTTCAATTATGGAAAGGTTTGAGAGAGTAGACACAATCTGTTTTCATGTGTGTGGAAGAGGAATATCAAAGACTGCCTATTGGCAATTTGAAATAATTTCTTTTCTGAGTGGTAGTAACGTGGCACTTGCTATTATGGGGAATAATTGAGGTGAAATATTAAAGATGCACTTAATGCGAAACTCGATAAGCCTTGAAACGAGAAGAGAACAGAATGTTATACTGATAAGAGTTAGATGAAGAAGGATAGGAAGATAATCAAGTGAAGGAGAAACAATGGCCTGCTTGGGTCAAATGACCTTTTGTGTACTATGTTCCATGTAGTTCTCTGACACTCCAAGAGTGATGATTTCATCACTGTTGTAACTGTCAGCAACTTCAAATAAATCAAGGTCAGCTTTCTCCGATGGAGTATGATTTTGTTCTGTGCCTTACTATTTTGAGTTTCTAAAGAATTGAATGATCAATTGAAAGCTTATTGAATGTTCAACTTAGATTTTTCCTGAAATGCTTTATAGTGCTTTACTTCCTACAGTAAGCTATTTGGAATTAAGGTAGATGTGAGTCCTACTTATTTTGACATCTGAGGTGGTAATGACAAGTAAATTGTTTTAGAACATGGTGACGCTCTTGCGCCATTGACTAGCCTCCAGTTTTTTTTCCTCCATTGTTATGGGGGTATGTTTACTGCTTTATCTCAGCCTAATTGAGGTGAAGAGCTGCTCTGAGTAACTGCAAGTGTCATCGGGCTGTGTTTGTACATCGATGAAACAATGAATCAGCAAAGGTTCCAAGCAACACAGTTGAAATGCCTAACTCTTCAACTGTGCAAATTAGAAAGTAAGCACTTTATTTTTTTCAACTGCAATTCAATTTGCTAACACAACGTGCAAAATGAAATACAAACCATTTGGTTTTCTGCTTGGGGCACATGGTGTATCTCTCATCTTCCAGATGCTAATGGCTTAGTTATTAATGAGATAGTTAAAACCTAAGGAGAATGTAACACTGTGTTCAGAATTTTGGAGTAGAAAGTTTTTTGGTGTACGTATGTCAGAGCTCTTAACAGTGAAGGAAGTAAGCTACTTTTTTGAGTGTAGTAAAGATAGTGAGTCAATGAAGGCCATTGAATGAAGAGATAATAACTGAGTAATGAAAATTGCTTAATTGATTGAAATGTTTAAGGTCAAGATCTTGCGAATTTGACATTGCATGTTTCCCCAATGTTATAGATCATTTGTTGCTAGCTGACAGCCATTGACATAGCTCTGGCTCGGGTGATCCGTTGCATGTTTTGAGCTGCTTGTTATGTTCCAAAAAGCATCAGTACAGCCAAAGCTGGCACTACAGGAACAGAAACATGTCAATTAAGCACAAGAGAAGTTGCTTAACAGTCTAATTAAAAAAAGTGGCAGTTATATTACAGGGCTGTGGGATGATATGACTGGCAACTTGTTTTTAAAAAAAAAAGGGTTTGGTTCATGAGGCAAAGGAGGTTCAGGGGACTTGATTGAGCGTTAAGTTATGAATGATGAGTTGTTAGTGTGGGATGAAAATATCAATTGTGTCAGAGTGCTGGAATCTTTTTCACAAAACTCCAGGACACTGAAACAAGTGGTTGTTCAAGTTGCTGCAGTCGCTGCTTTGAGGGCAAGTTTGATAAATAATTGAAGCAGAAAAATAATAAAGGGAAAGTTGGATCATGCTGATAAGAGGTTTTAGAGTGGAGTGTGCAGACATTCTTGGCAAAAGTAGTCGTTTTGCTTTCCATGTGAATCACTGATTTTTGCATGCTTTCAGGATTACTGTCTGTTTCTTTGAACACGTTGATTTAAAGGTGCTACACAAATGCATGTTGGTGGTTAGCATTAAGGTAATGTGATTCTTGTGTGACTTGTGAAAGGACGTTGGATGAAATGTTTGTTCTGAGTATGCACGACCATAAGACCTAGGAACAGAAATTAGGCCATTCGGCCCATCAAGTCTGCTCAGCCATTCAGTCATGGCTGATCAGTTTCTCGAACCCATTCTCCCGCTTTCTCCACGTATCCCTTGATCCCCCTAACAATCAAGAACCTATCTATCTCTGTCTTAAATATATTCAAAGACCAGGCCTCCACAGCCTTCTGAGGCAGTGAATTCCCTGGATACACCACTCTGTGGCTGAAGAAGTTTCTCTTTATCTCCATTCTCAAAGGTCTTCCCTTTACTCTAAGGCTGTGCCCTCGGATCCTAGTCTCTCTTGCCAATGGAAACCTCTTCCCAACGTCCACTCTGTCCAAGCCGTTCAGTATTCTGTAAGTTTTAATTAGAACCCCCCTGATCCTTCTAAACTCCATCAAGTATCGCCCCAGAGTCCTCAAACGTTCCTCATATGTTAAGCCTTCCATTCCTGGGATCAATCTCGTGAACCTCCTCTGGACCTGCTTCAGGGCCAGTATAACTTTCCTGAGGTATGGGGCCCAAAATTGCTCACCATACTCTAAACGTGCCCTGGTCTTTATGGGGAAATGGCAGTTGCGGTCATGAGGGGTGTATGCCTGCAATGTCTTAGCAAGTTTTTGCAGTAATTCCTGGGCATAGAGTCCTTCAATGATGGATGTTTCAGCTAATACATGAAGTGCTGAGCAGGAAAGCTTTTGAGTGTGCAGCAACTGCACCCATCCAGGCAAATAGAGCTTTTTAAAATCCTTTTCATGGAATGTAGCTGTTGCTGGCTAAACCAGCATTTATTGCCTGCACCTAGTTGTATTTGAACTGAGTGAATTGCTGAGCCATTTCACAGTTAAGAGTCAACCACATTGCTATGGATCTAGAGTCATATGTAGGTCCAGACCAGGTAAGGATGGTAGATTTCCTATCGTGAAGGGCACAAGTGAACCATATGAGTATTTAAAACAATCAACAGTGGTTACATGGCCACCATTGCATGGGTTAGCCTTTAATTTGAAAATTTTTTTTGAATTCAGATTTAACCATCCTGCTATGGTGGGTTTCAAACTCATATTCCCAGACCATTAGCCTGAGGTTCTTGATTACTAGTCCAGTGACATGACCATTATGCTACCACCTCCATCAAAGTCATGACTTGGGCTTTAATGGACAGACTTTGGGGAATTCAGAGCTGAGTCCCGGGCAGAATACCAAGCTTCTTATATGTTTGAACCAAGGTATTTAAATATTTGTGTGAAACACTGCATTGTTTTTAGTCTAAAGTTACTTCATAAAACAGCTACCTTGTATTACTAATTGCAAGGAAATTTTTAAAATGTACTTTAATGAATAGGATTGCTTACCTCTCTTAAAAAGAACTGTAGGGATTAATTCTTGCTAAATCTGTTAAAATCAAGATATGATATTTCTAGTGATATGCCAACTATTTTTGTAATGAAATTCAATATTTGTCACGTACAAATCCCATTTACATAATGAATAGGATAGACAAACTGAAATGAATAGCAAATGTGAGTGGAGTCCTTTTTCTCCCTCTTTTAAAAAAAACTGATTCACGTGAGTCAGTCCTGCTGATTTTCCAACATGTTTTACACACATTCAGTCAAATAGCTGGGTCAGTTAACTGGGCAGCATTGGCAAGTAACTTCAGTTTTCAGTTTGTGACTGGCAGGATTCAAAAACTCAGTGACCATGACTTAGTGTAGACATTAAGAGTGCGTATTGCATTTTGATACAAGTGTGGAAGGACATGTACGCAAATTGGGAAGAGTTTGTTAACCCAAAGCCTTCTCCTGTTTGTGAAGGTTCCTGTCTCCTTGGCATATATTTAATGTAGAAACAGCTGACCAGTGAACGATCTTTATTTGCTTTGTTTCCTAATTAGACAAGAATTCAGAAATTTTTCATTTGAAAGTGAACTCCCATCCACAGTTCATTTCTCTTCGCAGTTATAGGCATGGAGCAGTTTATATGTCTTTTTTTCTTTAAATTTGAGTAGTGAAATTGTTCTTATTGCTATATCATGGAAGAATTAAATTTTAATCAATAAACCTTCCTCTAAAGGTCCTTTGGCACCTTGATATTTTTCGAAGGAGTTTCAGACAGATAATCACTCACAAATGTATGGGAGATTCCTGCATCTTTTGTGCTCTCAAGGTAGGACTTTTTTTAATTGTACCATCTGTTGTAATCTGAATTTGTTTTGTCATCTTAATTTAAAATTCTTAACTACTGCTATTGTTTTGCTTTACGTCCATGATTTGGGAAGAAAAAGCATGGAATTCTTCAAAATTGAGCCCCATTTTGATATTACTATTTTCGTAACATTTGAAGTTGATAATATTGCAGAGCAGATTTCAACCTAATAGTAGAATCTTGAAGGGTAAACCCGCATACAGAATTTGGTTGCCATTCTAAAATATTCGATTGTTTATACAGTAAGAATGTAAAAGAAAGTAACAGTTTGGAACTTGGTGCTTGCAGTTTATATTGTGTTTGAGTTTAAGTCATTTACTGTAAATATTCAGAAAATTTGAGAGTTAATTAGACTGTAAATATTGTAGAGGATGAATGAAAGATAAATATGAGACAAGCAATAATTGAGTCTTTGTCTCATGTTTTTGAGGTTGAAGTGTTCAAGCTTAAAATTGAAGTCTCTTGTAATCAACCACTGAATTTTTCCAAAGCTTTAAAAAAATCTTTAGAAGTACCTTCTTTTTCAGAAAGAATGAAGTGGAACTGGAAGACTGTCTCTTAAACACTGCTTGTTGTCAGTTTACTGGAGTTGCCTGTCTCCAGTTCACTTTTTTTCTATTCAATTCATGGAATGTGGGCTTTGCTGGCTGAGCCAGCATTTATTGCCCATCCCTAGATGCCCTTGAGAAGTTGCTCGTGAGCTGCCACCTTGAAATTCTGCTGTCCCTTTGGTGTAGGTACATCCACAATACTGTTACGGACACTGTTGTAGAAATTTGACCTGCGACACTGAAAGAATGGTGGAATATTCCCAAGTGAGGATAGTGGTGATTTGGAGGGGATTTTACAAGTATTGGTATTCCCATGTATATTCTACCTTTCTCCTTCTGAATGAGAATGACTGTCGGTTTGGAAAGTGCTATCTAAGAATTTTGGTGATTTTCTGCAGTGCATCTGTAGAAAGTGGCAGCTTGTGTGTACTGAGCGTCAGTGGCAGAGGGACTGATTGGCACGACATTCATGAACAGTCAGACCGGCTTCTTTGCCCTAGCTTGTGTCCAGCTTCATTGTTGTTTGAACTGCACTCCGTCAACTGAGGAGTATTCCATCACACCCTCGACTTGCCTTGCAGATAGTGGGCAGGCTTACAGGAGTCAGGAGGTGAGTTACTAGCTGCAGGATTCCTAGCTGTTGATCTGCTCTTGCAGCCATTGAACTTGTGACTAGTCTAGTTCAGCTTCATCCAGCATGTTGACAATGGGGCATTCAGTGATGTGGGTACCATTTGAAGGTCAAGACTGAAGTTTCAATTCTCTCCTGTCAGAGATGGACATTGCCTGACATTTGGGTGGCATGAAAGTTACTAATCGCTGGTTCGTCCAAGTCTGGATATTTCTTGTATTTGGACTTGGACTGCATCAGCATTTGAAGAGTTGTGAATGAGCTGACATTGTGCAATCACCAGTGAATATCTCTAATTCTGACCTTATGATGGAGGGAGGGTCATTGATGAGGAAGCTGAAGATGGTTAGGCTAAGAACACCACCCTGAAGAACTCATGCAGAGATGTACTGGAGCTGAGGTAACTGACCACCTCTAACGAAGAGACCAGTTTCCCTCCTGATTCCCATTAACTGTAGTTTTGCTAGGCTGCCTTGATGTCACTAATCAGATCAGGAATTGTAGCCTTGGCAGAACCCATATTGAGCAGCAGTGAGCACATTGCTAAGCAAATGTTGCTTGATGGCATTGTTGATGACCCCTTACATAGTATGAGGTGATAGTTAAATTTGTCTTGCTTTTGGGTGTACAATGCATAATTAGGCAATTTTCCACATTTATGTGGATACCATGTTATAGCCATACTTGAATAGCTTGCCTAGAAGTATGGCAAGTTCTGCTGCAATGAGTCTTCTGTACTGTTGCTTATGTTGTCCGAGTCAGCAGCCTCTGCCTTATCCGGTGCCTTCAGCTATTTCTTGATATCATGTTGAGTGAATCGAATTGGATCAGGGCTGGCATCTGATGCTGGCGACCTCTGGAGGAAGACATGATGGATTATCTGTGTAGTTTTTCTGTCCTATGATTGTCACAAATGATGTGTTGAGCTCCTCATCAATGAAGGTAGGAATATTTGTGAACCGTCCTCCAGTGAGTTGTTTAATTGTCCCATCGCCATTCATGCTCATTCAGGCATATCACTTGCTGCTTAAGCGGTTTGACATCAAAGTATTCCTGTGTTGTAGCTACGCCACGTTGACACTCCCAGTTTTAGGTATGCCTGGTGCTGCTCCTTTTCCACCTTCCTTGCTCCATTCGGAGCTCCAATCTGGCAGTGTGGCGGGAGCTGAACGCGCAGGTTGTGTCCTGCATTGATGGCAGAGTGAGCATGGTTCGGAGCGACAGATCAAGAGTGGTCTGGCGAGGCGGCGGCACCAGCGAGATGGGGCTGGCGAGGCAGCAGAGAGTGGGACATTGGCGGCGGCATAGCATTAGCTGGAAAGTCCAGAGCAGGACTCTGGCAGAGGTTTGGCGAAGGCTGGAAAGTCCTGAGTGGGACAGTGGAAAGGAAAGTTGGACTGTCAGGTTATCTCTCTTTTTATTTTTCTTATCTTATTCTAAGTTGATGTGAATGGTGCCCTGTATGTACAGCGAAGGTACACACTTTTCATTGTATTTTTACATTGAATACATGTGACAATAAATGATTCAATTCAGTACTCTGCGTTGAAGTAGGTTGGTTCCTTGACTTGCTGGTAAGAGTAGAGTGGGGGAATCTGTTGGGCTATGGGGTTGCATATTATATATGAGAATAGTTCTGCTCCTTCCTGACAGTATACCACTGTGCTACCATCTCTGCTATGTCTGCCCTACCAGTGGGGCAGTCTGAGAGACAGCTCTCCCAATTTTGCCACTAGCCAAAGAGATTAGTAAGGACGATTTTGCAGAGTTGAGTTTGCTGTCATCATTCTGGTGTCTAGGTTGATGCCAGGTGGTCCGTCTGGTTTCATTCTTTGCTTTTGATGCCTGACTTGTTTAATATGCTTTGGTAAACTGGGAGAAACTTTTAAGCAAGCATTCCATGAGACCAGTCAAGCCTCGTTGCCCATCAGGGGATTAATTCTTGACTCTTCATAAAGTAATTAAGTAGATTTGGAGACTGGTACAAATTTGACTATTGAATTTTGTTGCATCTGATCAAAGCTTGAGATCATAATGTCCCAAAGTAATTACAATTCAGTAATGCTGTGAAGGCCAGAGCAGTCATTAGAGAATTGTGCAATTACGTGTAAACACTAGATTTTATTCAAGGGTTACTGCAGAATGATAGTGATGTGTAGATGACAGATCTGAGAAGCAAATTTAAGATACACAAAGCAGCCATTGCCTACTCACGGATTCTAATTCACTTGAACCTTTTTTCCTCAACTACTTTACACTCTTTTGTTATTATGTCTTCTTAAAATGCCAAATTCATTTCCTCAACCAACCCCTTGGATCCTGTTTGTACCATTTCCATTTGGGTTGCGCATTTTTCCTTTGCTGGAAATGCCTTGAAATTTATTTTTCTATACTTGGTGCAATCTGTTAGTAGTTTGAGATGATAGGGTGTAGCTGATAGTGCAGCAAACACTTCTTATTTTCAAAAGAAGCAAGTTTTTGTCTTGCAATGTCTTTGCAACATGAGATTTGAACACACGGACAGATAAAATATGGAGTAGGGACTTTTTATTGCACTGGCATCAGGTCATTGTAAATATGAAAGGAAACGAAGTTTAAACCTGGAAGACAATAGTTCTCTGGCATTGTGCATATATTACATAAATAAACAAGAAGGCACTGGAAACGAAGGGCACAGGAGCATTTATCTATCATATGCATGATGGTAGGGGCATTAAAGAGCCCAAATGGCAGTCTCGTATGTGGAGAAGTCCTCTGGTATCTGTTCAGAATGCCGTCTTTTCAATGTCTTGTTCATTGTTGGGTTGCTGATTTATAACAAGGAACCAAATCAAGACTGCTGAAATACTTTGCAGCTTTGGGAATGTATAATTCTCCCACAGTCCTAGGTAGTAGGTAAACATTCTTATGAGTCTTTGTGTTGAGTGCCCAGTATTCAATACAGATCCTCAGTTTTTCATCCTTCTCCCTCAAGAGGACTATGGAGGATGTGTATGGATCTAATGACTCTTGGATTACATCTCACTCCAAAGACATCTGTCGGATTTTCCAGACTTCTTCCCAGTGACGGTGTGGCATCTGTCAGTAAGGCATCTTTGCTGAATGGTCAAGTTTCGTCGTAATCCTGTGATTTACCAGGCCACAATATCCATGTCATCATCTTTCCTGAAAGTTGTTTCATTCTTGGGAATGTCGGAACATGTGGCTGAATGGCCTACACCTCCTTCTAACCATGAAGTATGTCCTTCAAGACGAGTGGGAGCAGTTTAAAATTCAGCAAAGGAGGACAAGGAGTTGTTTGAGAATATGGAAAATAGAGTACAAGAGTAAGCTTGGGGGAACATATAAAAACTGACTAAAAGATTTTAGGTATGTGAAGAGAAAAAGGTTGATTAGAGATAAATGTAAGTTTCTTGCAATTAGAAACAGTGAAACTTATAATGGAGAACAAAGAAATGGCTGACTCACTAAATACATTCCTTTGTTCTGTGTTCACATCATAACCAGAAATAACACAAATTTGTTGGAGAACACAGGACTTAGTGAGAGGGAGGAACTGAAGGAAACTAGTAGGGAAGTGGTGTTGGCTATGTTGGGATTGAAGGCTGATAAATCCCCGGGCCCTGATAATGTACATCCCTGAGTACTTAAGGAAGTGGCTCTTGAAATAGTGGATTAATTGGTGGCCATCTACCAAGATTCTATAGACTCTAGAATAGTTCCTACAGATTAGAGGTTAGCTGTACACCAGTCAGCCTGACATCAGGAGTGGGGTAAAAA